CTTTTTATCAACATGGGAGCTTCGGACGCTATCGAACATCTTCGCGAGAGTCGAGAATACTAAATTGTGCACTGTGATTGTCGACAGTGTTTTCTGAGCGTTGTTTGGTGACAGGGGCATGAGTCGTTGGAAAATTGCAGGATGCAAAATTGCTCCACTCATCGATTGCTCTATCATAACGACAAGTCGTCCATATTCTGAATTGCTCACGTTTCCGTCCTACTTTCGAAGCTCACATTCCGTAAATTTTGTCGTTGTTACAGCAGAACTTTTTTGCTAAGAAGATTTTGCTAGCGAGGCGACTTCTTCACCCTCAAGCAGTCCATGTTCTGATGGCTGAGAAGCTTTGTGCCAAGCGTTTGGCGGAACTGCTTTACCTCTTTTTGCCTAATTTCCTGCTTATTGTTTGAGGAATTGTCTCCTTTTTAACAGCGATAGAAGCCGATGACGTGTTTCTCTATTTCACAGAACATTTTGCTTTCAATGTTCACTCTAACTGGTGTAATACCACCACAAGGAACCCATGCTGTTGTGGTGATTAAGATGTCCCGTTGCGAGAATAAAAAACTTTTGGTATCATTAGCTTTCTCTCTGCCACAATTAACATTTCTAGGCTTGTGCAAAGTATTTGAATAGAATACGCTGCATTCTTAACCTAATTTGCCTTTATTCCCGTGGTGTTCTAATTTTCTTAATCACGTTAATCGAAAATATTATAGTTAAATTATGCATAGTAGAACAGAGCCTCCCAACGGTTTGCCGCCTCATCGTGGCTGGGAGGTGATCCTCGGTGTCGGACTGCGATGTACAGGGGGGGATTCGTCTTCCCGGCAGGGTCTCCCAAACTGAGAAGGCGTCCGACGTTTCTATCAGGAAGGCTAGGTAAGAGTAAACCAATACCATGATCCGCCACCGTCTTGGTATAACTCACATAGTGGCAAATCTCCCTCTGATCCACAAGGGCTGCGGCTGCCTGTGGTGGTGAAGACCTGGGACAGACAATGGCCAAGCTGACCTCGGGATTCCAGGAAACCACAATGGCTTAACCAACAGTTCTCCGAAAAATTGTGATTATGCTAAGGCCCGCACACCCAGTGAGAACGGGCCGTTCAAGTATCAAGTAAGTATAGTAGAACAGAGCAGTTAGTTTTTCTATATACTTCGATCAAAGTGTATTTTTGATATTTTCCACTGAAATGGGACTTTATCTGAAAGTTTTTTCCAATGCCGATGAAGCGAGGGGTATGTGCAGTGGTAGTGCCTGCAATGCACATGTGATCATTGGTTCGATTCCGCGCCCCCACAAACCAAGCCGTTCACCCTTTCGTGGTCCGAAAATTGCACCAGACACGTTTGGGAGTATAAAGACACCCACCTGACCCATCGGTAGCCTTATGGAAATCATTATTGAGGTCAAATATTCCTCCAACCACCTCTACAATAATTGATGAAGTCGGATGGACGGCTATACCTAAAGGACCAAGTAACTCCAAACGCGATATCCTTTAAAGACAAGAAATCATCGCAAAATAATTTTTAAGAGTGTTAATCGTTTATATTTGATCAAAAATCCTATTAATTGTATCTGTTCTGTCTTTAACGCCAGATATGCATTCAGTCATCTCCAACTGTGCTTAATGAACTCGAAAGACCGACTTTCTATAAACGTCGGCATAGATAGGTGATATATTTATTTATGTGATCTTATAAACTGATCTTCTTAAGCTGATTCGAGGCTTAATGAAGTCGAATGCATGGCGCATCCATCAGGGATTGATCAGCGCCGACAGCTTCATCCTTTGTCCTTTCATCCTATTCCTTAAGCATTTTTATCGCGTTGTTCAAACTAATTAGTTTTGGATGAAAAAATCATATTTAAGTAGACGCCAGTGGCCCTGTGGCAGTAGGTGCTTCGTAATACCCAGATGGTTTTTGGTTCTATCTCTTTCCGAACCAGTCAGTCTTCAGGGTTCGCAAACTGGTACGAGCTTGTCTGGAGGAAGCTTTCAGTGAACTTCAAATGTCGTCGAAAAAATCTAGTCTGCGAACTCTCCACCAAAATATGCCGGGATGCCAAAAAAAACTTGATAGACCAATATTTAACGACATTCGTGAAGAAGACAAGTTCCCAGATGGTATCCGAACGCACGCAAACGACTTTTGTGGATGACATCTGGTGAAGAATGAGCTCGGCGGCATTGCTGCTGGCATTCGCAGAATACGTGAAGGCAAATTATATAAAGTATTGTTTCGAAAGATCACGTTTAATGGGATTTGGTACCGCTAATGAGGGCCGTCGATGTCGGCTGACGTTTGCATCACGGAACTGAGTCGCCATTCGTGCTGGGGAAGTGCCCTCGTCCGGCTCTGACGTCACTTCCGACTCGACTCGTCATGCCCCAATTTTCGCCCTCGATACCCGGCTTCCCGTAGTCTTCGATGTTCTGCATAGTTGACGTGCAACGTCATCAATTGGACATCTCCTTCTTTCTTCCTGTAATCACTATGTAAATCCATATGAGACTAATTTTGTAAAGGGGCAGTAAGTTAGAGTGATTGATGGCGGTTCAACTGTTAGCCATGTCACTTCATCGTGACAAAAATAATTAAAAAATATACTTGCCAACGCCATTTGAGTGACAGCATCAATATTTCTGGTCTCGTGAAATATTAACACCTTTTTGTTCTGTTTTAATATAGTATTCGGCGGAAATGAAGAATTCAAAGGGTTTAATCAGAACCCCTTTCTAAAAATTTTATAGCATCCCTTTCCAGAAATTCTATGACATCCCTTTCCAGAAATTCTATGACATCCCCATCCAAAAATTCTATGGCATGTTCACACATATATGTACGAGTAGAAATTTAAAAATTATTTGAATAATGAGCTTATTGTGGAGTTAAGAGCGAATTTTTCAGTAGAACTAAAGCTTTGCAGATCCTTCAGGTTGTCGAATAATAAGATGCATTGGATAGTAGCAGTAATTTTAAGGATCCCAATAAAGCTTAGTAAGGAGAAAAAAGGAAGTCGTTCCATCAAAGATGATGTACGAGCTGCTGTGAGAGCAGAAACAGCTAGTTATAATATACTGTATATCACATAAAAATCACAAAATAGATTCAGTACTTTAGAAACCTGGGAGAGCTTTGTGGCGAATCCTTTCTCCTCCTTTTATTTTCCTATTCCTTTTTTATTCCACATTATCCGCCAGGAAATGTATCACACCGGGCGACTCACGGCACTTCTCGTATTCGAATCTTTTCATCGCATCCATCATCCACGAAGGTTTTCTCATTTGGGGAGTTGCAGTGGTCGCTGTTTAAGGAGGCGTTTCTCTCTTGTTTTGAAAGTTTCATCTATATACTCTTACTGGCTTTGCTAATTCAGCTTCAGTGTCGCGGGAATGTTATTATAACGCCGAAGGCAAGCAGCTCATTGTTCAAATAGGAGGTTTTTTGTGAAGTACCTGCAGTTCCCTTGGCTATCGTAAGTTTTATGACGTCAGAGGATCGACCATTATATTCACATCGCTGCACCAACGAACAGCTGGAATCCCAACATCATAATCTGTTCTCTCGCCAAATTGTCTCAGAAGCAAAAAAAGGATAAAACTCTCGGCTTTGATCACTCCTAGAGCAATACGCCATGAATTCCACTTTATTGAGCACCGTTAGAGCTGAATGAGAGCGTATCTGGCCCATGGCAATGACTTAGGTGGTCTACCGATGCATCAAGTCGGTGTCGCCATCCTCCCAGACAGGTCTGGTACCAATCTGCCGAACCCCGAGAAAAGGTTGGCTTGGTATGCTCGGGACGCGGGACCAAAATAGTGACTACGTATGCATTGCAAGGCACCTCTAACCACTGCGCTACACAGGTTTTTTTTTCCAACGTACGCCATACAAGTTCTGAAGTTGTTTAACAACTAAACACAACGGCTTTGATGATTCGAAATTTTGAAACAATCTGCATTTATATAATACATTGAATGATTCACCTAGATGACCTATTTCTTGTTTCATTTTTAAATAACTCGTCTCTAACGGGTTCTTTTTGTCAACTTTGCAGGCTTCAGGTTTCCATGGTTTCTTTTTCATTTCCTAGCAAAGTGATTAACTTCTATATGGTTTTCTACAAGTGCAAAATGCTCTAGTACCATTAGAAACGACGATTTCCACTAATTATGCAAGCAATCGTCCTGTAACACACTCTGAGGTCGGCAAAAATTGGTAGCAGACTAGTCCGGGAGTATAGCAGCACCGGCTCGATACATCCATCGGTGGGCCACCCCGAGTCATTACAAAGACTAGCATGGCGCATCCCTCAGAGATTGGTCAACGCCGAGAGCTTCGTTTTCATTGCAAACAATCAAAAATGTAAAGGATTTCACTCTAAAGAGATATTTCACAATGTTAGGATAAATATTTCCTGAATTTCAAACACAACCCTGACTGCCTCCTTTTCCGACCAGCGTTCGGGAACTTTTCCCTAACGATCTTTTTTTTTTTTTCGACGATCGACGTTTTAGCGTTTCCTTCTCAAGAAACTCTACTTTTTCCCTCGTTAACCGACAACAATTTTGAATTTGTGGCCATTTCGAGCATATAAAGCAGTCACAGAAGCTTTCCCAATTTAGTTTGTAGCATTTCGACCTTATACACACCTATTCAGTCGGTCTCACAACACCGGTAGTGTATTTTTCTCTGCTTTAGACCTTTTTCGTATGTCAGCGGACGTTGTCATTCGACGAATGCAGAAATGATGCTCTAGAAGCACTTTAGAGAAGCTGCACTTCATTGCAGCGAGGTAAGGAAGTTGCTGGAGCTCCGACGGAACATGACCGCTCGTCGTCACACGATGTGGTTCGTGCCGGGATCACGCAGGTGAGTGGTCACCGAAGTGGGAGCGAGAAAGGGGGAGAACATAGTGCAGGTATGGGAGAAGGGTCAGAGAGAGTAAGAGTGCGTAAGAGAGAACTGGTGGCGAATTGCTTTTTGCGATGGATGAGGTGCGATCCGATGCGGTGGGGCGGATCTTGCGGCAAAGAGCGCAGAGCACGGGATCCGCGGCCGCTGCTCTGGGCGGAGGACACGGCCTGCAGCCGCCCGCTCGGCGGAGGCAAGGACCGAGAGGAGCGGACCGGCCGGCCAGTATGCCGCGTCGGCGCGGAGGGTTTGGGCTGGCCAGCCTCCGTCGGGAGCTGCACCTTCACAGTCTGTTCCGCGACTCGCCGCGCCGCGACGAATCAGCGTCGCAGACCGTCACCGGTATTCCTGTAAGCGCGACGTTTAGTGCTCATCTGACGCCTTCCGCTGCTCCGCCGTCAGTTCATGCGCGTCGCGAATCCTTCCTCTACCGCTCGTCGGAGGACACGCGAGATACCGCTCCGCGACCAGTCAGCCGTGCCAGCTCCGTCACCTCCAACGACCACGCGTGAGTCTAGGTTTCTTCTTCACGTTCTTTTTCTCTTTTGTTTCTGGTTTTGTGCTCTGTTTGAATGATAGCATTCCGTTTGATTGTAACTGTGCGTTGTCGAATTCACTACCGCTGCGCCAGCGATGCATTTGCTATCGCAGTGCTACCATACTTCGCTCTTCTGTAATCTCGTTACCATGTCGGTTCGATAAGTGATTGCCCAGAAATCGTGCTTAATAGCAAAGAGCGCGACGTTTCTTTTCTAAGCTCTCTTAGTGCGCCTGCTGATGTTTCTGTAGTTAACGATGTTAATGTGATATGGTGTTGGATGAAAAGATCTCAGAGTCGAAGACGGCATTGTGATTTATATTGCTCGACCTGAGGCAGTTGCTTCCATCGATTACACACGAAACAATGTTATATTGCTCCGTAGGCACTGTGCTGTTATAGTACCAGATTCGTTATTAGAGCAGAAAAGCCTGAGCGAGCCATCAGCAGTGTGTTCACATTGAACACTAGCCGGCCTACTGTATTCATAGGAACTGGTTCTATTAACAGTACTTCCCCAACAAACGTAACGAATTAGCACACCCTATAATCTAGGCGCTTTTGCGATTATCTTGGCAAAAACTGTGACGAGCACTAGCGGTTGTTGTATGACATCGTGGCAACACTGCTGGAAACATTGAAGAGAGTGAGTACGGCTATCTGAGACGACTACGCGGAAACACGACGATTGGATGACGTAAGGGCATCGCGTCATCAGAATAAGAAAAATCCCGCTTAAGCTGTGGCAAGCGCAGCTGAATGCTTTACGACTGGCAGTGTAAGGTGTTTTTTATAAATTTGTTGCGATAGTTTGTCAGTAGAGCTCTCAAGATGCGCTCAAGCATTGATGGGCTACTGACAGCGGCTCGCTGAATATGACAGTCATCGAGCGTTTTAATATAGATAGTTAATGGCTATTGATGGTTGGCGTAGCGTGTCTGGAATAGTGTTCTCACGGGCTATCTTGGCGCGTCAAAGTAGTGACTGTCATGTAAATTCAGGTGCTGAGTTATGTTTCCCAACAGGGTTTTGCCCGATTTTTTTCGAGTTCCTGAAGGCATTCGTCATCGTCCATTCACTTTAAACTGAATTATATTTGCAATTAGTTTTCCAAATGAAGTAAAAGATCTTCTTTGGTAAGATCTGCTCAGAAACGGAGTATTCTCTTAAGGAAATTGCTGTTCTTGCATTTAACACCATTCTGTGCACTGCAGAAATGGCGACTGCTTTTTCTTTCCTTCCTCGATATCATTTTCATCTGTTGGTTCTGCTAGTGCCGTCGTTCATGGCTCCCTTAGGTCGCTTCTTTGTGATTATGCGTTTGCGATCGCCGTGACGACGAATGACCGCATTGTTGTCAACCGCCGTCTTATCACAAATTCGGCTTGTCGCCTCACCATTTCTGATCTCATCAGTAATCGTCCACCTCTCTGTTTTAAATGGATCATATGTTGTAGTCCTGTCTGAGTACGAATCCACATTATTCGTCTTCGACAACCACATCCTCCATGTTTGCAAGTGCGAGTTGTCTATTCTCCTTGCGATATCCACAAGAACTACGTTAATCCAGAGACTTCACTACATTCATTTTTACCTAACCGCGCTAATTCTCCTCAGGCTTATATAAGACTTCTATAAGACTATAAGACATATATGACTAAGAAGACTATAAGATTCAGACTTCTCTTACTCTTTTTTTTCATCGCTTTATGTTTGCTGTTGCTATCAAATGGACACGCCCAGTGCCATTGGAAACTACTGAGACCCGCCTTCTTTACAACTGAAGACGTTTCTGAAGCAATGGATAGAAGGTCTCATTGGAGAATTGATGGCGATCTGAATTCCTTATAAATTCACCGCACTCGATGGAGATGCCACTCTTATCCACAGTAGACGGCCTGGTGAATGGCATTGCTTTCGTGTAGCTTTATTTCTATCGCACATCATTCACACGCCTCTCCGTTCAGCATTTCAAAAAGACATCAAAGTCTTTTTCAAGGGATAAACGAGGACTGCATAACGCCTGCGAGGTCAACACCGCTATAAACCTACAGCATCACCTGTAGTTTTTGTAGATTCCAAGGCGTGGTTGCAATGATCTACATCCACTTCATTCCTGATAGAGTGTAAGATTTAACAGAGTCTTTTTAAATTTTTACGCGTCCTTCGTACCTACGAGTTCCCATGAATTTTTACAACGATCGGAAAATGTCGCAGTGACATTTCTTTCCAAACCTGGCTGAGGAACACATATCCTCGAATAGACGTTTGAGAAAGTTCATAGGAAATTTCAGATTCGTGAGGTCATGTTGGAGTTCAACAAAGGCTGTACTTAACAGCGATGTCTGCTTTTTCTTTCTAATTGCTTTGGTTCTTCACTTCTCATGAAGTAAGAGTTCGAGCTACTACAAAATATTATATCGTTAATTCAGTGTTATTGACTTCAATACGTATGCTTTCTTTCATAAGTTTACACGGGGTTGATATATGATTTTTATTCGGCTAACGTTCCGACGTCTTCACCTTCATCAGAGCCGATGGTCGGAGTTGGTAGCCCACGCTCGTTCTTCGTCTCGACATGGCGTCTTCGCCTTTGTGCCGAGTCAGGTCTTCCTCAGTGGGCCATCTCCTCGAATGAGGCATACTCACTTAGTGATGCCCGCCCTTTTATCCAGGATGCTAGTAGTGGATAGTAGAAAGAAAAGTAGATTTAAAAATAGGAATGTTATCGATTGCATTCATCATTTATTTTTCGTTACTCGTTTACATCGTAAATTGGTTTGCCGCAGGCTTGTATACGCAGCTGTGTGTCTGAAAAGTCGCTGAATCTTGCGAGTTCTTCATCCAACATGCCGAAGTTCGAGGAAGTCACTAGACATTGTAGTACAGCCCCCTGTAAAGTCAATAATTTTCCGCACGAGTGAGCTACCATGAGGTTGGTGTAAACTTTTATTCGGCTAAAGTTTCGGCTCATTTTAAGCTCTCCTGAAGCCTTCAAGAATAGAAGAACTTTTAACTATTGGACTTCTTTTCCAATGTCCGTAGAGTACAAAGATGTTGCCATGTTATTCTTGGTGGAGAAGAGCAGAGCAGAGCGACCAAGTCGGATAATGAGATCTGACATCCTAGGACGCACTTGCTCGCGGCAGCGCCGTAGGTGCAATTGAACATTTCACGAGCGGGCCGACTGACGAAACCTCGACAGGAAGCAGCATTTCCTCGATTTTTTTCATCAAGTCAAGTCTGATTTCGGGATATTATGATGAATTTTCAGAATTCAGATATGCTCAGAGCCCTCTGTTGCAGTGTCTTAAAGATTTTCATTGTTATTTATGTTTATAGGTTGTGTTTTCTTCTTAACATTCACCACCGAAATTCCCCTTGTTTTTCGTTACATTTTACTTACTTGGTACTTGAGTGGCCCGTCCTCACTGATTGTGCGAGCCTCAGTATAATCTCCATTCTTGGAGATTTGCTGGCTAAGCCATTTTGGTTCCCCTGAATTCCGAGGTCAACCTGGCCAAAGTCTGCCCCAAGTCTTCACCACTACAGGCAGTCGCAACCCTTTGGGTTAGAGGGAGATTTGCCACCATGCGACTTTGACACTAGGACGATGGTGAATTTTGGTACTGTTACATTTTATGAAGTAGAAAACGAACTTGCAGTTGGGCAAGCTTTCCCACAAACTCTGATAAGAAAATTAAGCCTTTTTTTCAAAGTCTTTCTTTACGAATGACGTCGATCTAATTATCTTACTAGCTAAAACTTAATAGCATAACTTTTCTGCAAACTCTAACCGGTTTAGTTGCTTTCACGTAGACCCAATTTCAGAATCACATCGAAAATTTCCGAACTCTACGCCGTCAGAAATTGTTTTGGATTGTGCAGCTATTTGGTTTGCATAAAATAGCAACTACTTCAATGTCGATTTTCTCTTCGAGGCTTCTCATTTCCCTGGTCAACCAAGAAAGTAAAAAACTGAGTGTTTATAAAGAAAATTGTCTATGATTATGACTGCGACAGCAAGGAATTCCATCATACTTGATAATTACTGGCAATTACCTCTCGGCGGACCAGTCTTCACAAAGAATCGTTCGGTCAACAACGGTATTTCTTCCATTGGACTAATGTGTTTTTGCTTGAATAAGATTTTTTTGTTAGGAAACTAAAAAGAGAGCATCGCGTCTTTCCGTTGGAGACGTTTCCAAGTTGTCATCAGACATTCACCAAGTTTTCTGTATCTGAAATGTGAAAAAGTTCCGAAAAAAGTTTGTATTTCATGAGCAGATCATCTCTAGAATGACATCCCACCTCGACTTCCCGCTACTGTTGTGGAACTATCAAACTCTCCAGTTTGGGTAATGTGACTAGAAGAACAAATGCTTTGATATGCATAGCGGGTTAGGAGTACTAAATTGTTAGGCGGCAAACAGCTGGTTGAAATTAGAAGTCGTTTTCCGTAGGTAGCTTGCGTTCAAGATTTTGTATCTGAATACACGAGATTTAACAAAATGAGAGGGAAAAGGGCCAAAGAATACCTATTTATAAGCCACCAAATGTATCGCCTTCGGTTTCTCATTGTAGCAAAGCATTTCATCAGGCAGAAATGCCATCGTGTCTTTCTTTATGGCAGAACCGAAGAAATCGTTCCGACTTCAAATCTTTCGTTTTCACCGATTTCCCACATTAAGTTGTTCGTCAATTGCTAGTTTCTCCTCTTTCTCGGTATCTCATTATTAAAGCTCTGAATGTTGCAAACATTACAAAGTGAGACGTGCTTACGTGGTCATGGTTTCGATAGTTTTTCTCTGTTTTTCTCGCGTTATTTGTCAAACAATTTTGAGCTTTTTAGTCGCAATAGAATGGCCGTCCATGGACTTGAGGTGGTCCTTTAGTTACCACGGCCTCGGTGTCGGAAAACCAGCGCTTCCCTACGAATAGCTTGAAATGGGAAAATCTCAGAGGGGTAGGCTC